GAATATCCAAATAACAGTAATACTGGAAAGAACCAGAAATAACAAGGTTTTTTTCTTCGACCCCCAGCGATCGCAATAAAATTACTCGTTATTTCAGCAGTGTGGGATGGCGGTTTGTCATGATGTAAATAGTAGCGCCACTAATCCTCTTTCTTCCTGTTTTCCAACAATTTTTTTTTAGAATTTTTGGTAAGCATTGTTCGGTGTACCGTTTTGCAGTTACTGTCTGACCTTTTTTCAGTGGAACAGTAGCTCCGATTTTAGATCGGGTGATGTAAATTTGCTCCATTACTTTTGATGCAGATTTTTGTTGCTTAGTTTTTTTTTGGTTTTTTTTTTCGTTTGCTCCTGCTGGACTCCGTACCATGGACTGCTGTTTGGGTTCTGGGTCATACTTATAGAACCAAGAATCGTCACCAGCGGCGACTTTACTAAAAATGCTAGACTGACCATTTTCGAGTTTGTTTAGGAAAAATTTAGCAAAATACAGTCCGAACGATATTCGGCCATGGATGGCATTCATTGGCATTCATTTCTTATGGCTATCGTCGAACTTTGGCAGAGCAACAGTGACGTCATCAGCAGAAGATTTTGGTCGACCTTCTCGGGTCTCATACTCTACGGAAAATTCTGCGATCTAGAATTTTCGGAAATAGTCTTTAGAGACGATGCAATTGTTCCATATTCAATTTGTCATACACTAAACATTTGCATTGGCTGTAAATTACGCCGAAGCCCGAAGAAGAACACTTATCACTTATGAATACTATAAATAGAGTCTGAACGAGATGGTTATCTTGAGTTACTTCCGATAAGATATTTATTAATTAAGAAACAGTGTCTTTAAATACCACATGTTGTGTTCTCTTACTGGGATGTGAGGAAACCCATTGAAAATATCTTGGTTGAAACCGAAGAAGATCTGGTTTATAACTGGGAATGGAGTGATTAATCCTCAGTATAGACAACGTCAGTTTACTGCTAATCTCTTAAGGCTTTAGAATTGGGTAGTAGTGAGTAGATCGAACCCGCTTTTGGAGACCGCTTCCATGTTATACGGTACACATCTTTTTGACGGAGGAATTATAAAGTTTAGTTTAAGGCAAATACAGATTTTTTGCACCTAGAAATCATATCTTCATTATAATTGAAAGAACGTTTTAGATTTATCAAATAATATAATACATCTTCCTCAGAAACAGTTAATGAATTAGTTACTGCAATCCAAGGCAAATCATTCTAACAGACGAACAAACGGCTTCGAGAGTCAGTTGATTTTTAATTAATTTGATTTAAAAAATCCCGCGGAAATACTTAGACTGCCAATTGACATAAGTGGGAGGAGTTTTTCAAGGCAGAGTCCAACTCCTTTAGTTTTAAAGATTGCACTTTAAAGTGGGTGCATGGAAAATTGTTCGTTCAAGAGGGATATTCGTCTAGGTGAGAGAGGTCAGAGAAACTCAATTATATGCTCAACCAAATTTATTAGATTGTTTATGTAGCTTAGAAACCTTTGTAACCTCCGTCATACAAATGCTGACTTCAGTGTTTTCTAATTAATATTTACTATATACTAACGTTAATCGAAAGTATAAAATTACAACATTAAACCTGAAACAACTTTCATGCCTCCTCCACTGATACGTTTTGGCATTAAAAGTCACTCATACGCCCCGACGTCTTTTTAGTGTGTCGGTTTTTATGAAGCTAATTGAAAACATATAGAGTTGTAAATATGCTTTCCTATACGCCAACGTTATTTATGAAACCCCATTTAATGCAATTTATATTGTCGTTACTTTGTTTTTCTTGCCTACTGGGAATATTTTGGATAGAAACGTGGATTTGCCAAAGCTTAAGTTGATAGGGTTAACTCGTTAGGATTTTATGAATCAGAAAATTTTGTTATTTTGCAAATGTTCTACCAGTTTTTTTTTATAATTAGTAAATATTTATATTAGAAGAAGGCCTTGGGGTCTAAATGCCTTGGTCACACTGATCAAAAATCGCATCAACTTAAATATGGAAAAGCAATTTTTTCCCCTATTTCCTTTATATCAAATAGTGATTCAATATCAAGTCTCAGTAAACTGTAGATATCTTCATATATATTATGATGAAATTGTGTTTATACAATACTTGTGGGTATAGAGCATGCGAATTAAAAGGTTATCTGACTTGTCAACCCTAGAACATGAAACATACTATAACCATGTGCTAAGCAATCTAAAAACTGATCATGAGCTTTTCTGATAGCTATGGCAAACGCTAGTCGAACGAGGAACTGTAGTCGCTTGAATGGAAAGGGGGTATCGGGCGGATTGGTATGGCTCAGATTTTAGACACCTTAGTTTTTCGCAGCGAGATAAGCACCCTTTCAATTATTTGGATATTTGGTATTACTTTCTGATTCTATTCTGCTTCTGATGCACAGAATTACAGAAATTATCGCGTAATGTAATCCTTCCGGAAGTCCGTAAAATTAGCATTTTGTCGTGCCCCACACATCTTTCAAATCGGGCTTGTTTTTAAATTCACGGTCTGTTTCCTGGAAAAAAATATTTCTTGAGAAATTTCATCCAAAAAGTTAACTAAAACGAGCTCCTGTAAAAGGAAATTCGAAGCAAAAAGAACTATTAATAAAAATTCCGTCTTCGAATGGGTCAGTCCCTGGCTCACTTTCCCGAAAGTGGAGTTGTCTTCCAGTAAATCTAAGAAAAATACACCAATGTATCAAATATTCCAGTTATAATAGAAACAATATAACAAAATTGCTAGCCAATCGGTCGATAAATTTTGGAGAATACGGATACTATATTTTTATATAAAAGATGTTTCTAAGTGCAATCGCCTCTCGGCAAAGAATGTCAAGCCCTACGAGTTTATTACATTCCTGGTATAAAAGCTTCCTATATAAACCCATCGACGCTTAGAAAAACTTGTAGGCCACTCTATTTGTTGGAGAAACAACAAGACGCTTACCAAAAAGTGAATGAGAAGCTGGGACGAAAATCACGTCAGCGCTTACAAAGGGCCGATTGTGGTTTACACCGCAGTACAGAGAAAAGTGGCTTGCACACCGGATGTCATCTCCGTACTAGATGTCAATTTAATAATTCTTAACTTGAAAATAATAAGTTCGCTATGTTGTATGAGTTTATTTTTGCTTATGCTTTCAGTTACCTAAATGTTGCTCATACGACATGCTGAACTTTTTTTGTTTCACTTAAGTATTCTTAAATTTAATTGTAAAAAAATCGGTACGCTTTAGATCGGTATTCAACGCATTTGAAACACATGGAAAATTATGTCAATATTTTGCTTAGGTACTCAAAAGATAGTGGATCCACACAGACATATGCGGTTTAAGTAGTCGCTGAAGTCTGATTGCGCCGTCTGTTCATAAGAGTATCGGCAGCAAAAGGACGCCAGTCTTTTTGAATGAGGCTCGCTCTGAAAATTTAAAATGTGTGCTAAATTAAAACCTACTCGCCAATGAAAAGGCACAATAGCTTCGGACGAGCCGCCCTCTTTTCGATGGCGACCGGCTAAGGAATAAGATTTAAAAGTATGCACCCCAAAAGTGCGTTGTCTTAATTCTGAGGATGCCGCTATTCAGCTGGTTGGTGTTCTTGTAAAAATAAAAGCTGACATCACCGCCGTGCAGGAAGTGCGCTCGAAGAGATAAGAACAGAGACGAGTAGATCCTTGTGACTTTTACTATAGCGGTCATATAAAGAAGCGCAAATTTGGTGTTGGATTTGTGGTGGAAGAGAGACTCCGTCATCGGGTACAAGCACTCACGCCGGTGTATGAGCGTCTCACCACAATCCGCATCAAAGCGAAATTTTTCAACTTAACGCGATGTGACGATGACAATATGACCTAGGTTGCCTGTTATGAGCGCCTGCAACGTACTTTTGAGCGCTGTGCAGCCTAAACGAAACATCCCCAATTGGATTGAGGCTAATCAACTGTCTCCTGATCGAAAAGCTCAAAAGCAGATTCATAATATTGCGATAAACGGATGACTTGCCACGAAGGTTCTGAGGATCTAACATCGATTCAGACCATCATGTACACGCTACTGCAATCACAACGAGCAGCCCAACGGTTTTCTACTCCATTATCCCTCCTGCTCTCTGAGAGTTACAAAGGTTTCACCAGGTTCTCAGCAAGGAGGGGATCCAGTCAATGAATTTATGAAGGAAACTCTTCTTTAGCCTGATTACTGCAAGAGGAAATGGAGCGCCCGTACCGCCGGTGGGAGCTTATAACAGCCTGCGCCAATTACCATGGGATATGGCTCTTAAACTCCGCATATAAGGTCAACGGTTTTGTGTGAAAGACTGAAGCCTACCCTATCAATGTGGCCTAAGACCTGGCAAATAAATCATTGGCCAGATATTCACCAAGCTCCAATTTTGGATGGCACAAAAAGCTTAGTCAAGATCGGCAAGAACCTCTCCGAGCCACTAGCTGCAGAGTTGAATGGAGAAGGTACAATCTCTGCCTACAGCTGCGCAAAACCTTTCGATCGAAAACTAATACCGCTGAGTAATCAAATGTTATCATCGTACATACCTTGGCGCCATCTAGCAGAACGGCGAAGAGGAAGTCAAATAGTTTGGTCGTTTTTCGTGAAGAGCGCACTTTTCAATTGCCTTCTCAGTCCGAATTAGCTCATGTTAGCAAGTGATTCTTCGGTGGATTTCAAGCCTAACTTTGTTGTTGGAGTTAATGCTAGTTGCAAGTTACCTACGACTTCGCAGGGGTATAACATATTAGCTCATTATAATTAACAACTAATTTAAGTAGGCAAGAAAATTGGTTGATATACTGATTTCTTAAAAAAAAACTTGAATCAGGTAGTTTTTGTATCCGTCTCTAACTATCAAAAAAAAGTTCCTTTCAATTTAATTTTTGGGTACACTCAAGAATGCCCTCTGAGAATCAAAGCAATTTGTCTGACTAAATAGTGTCTCTCTCTATTCTTTCAGGTATCCCAAACCAGGCACACAAAATCCTATTGCAAAACTTCGCGTCGCTGACATACAGAATCCGGAAGATATTAAAATAAGAGAGCTACAACCACCACAAGTATTGCAAAATGAGTAAGTATACTAACATAACCGGATCTTATACTAACATAAATATTAGCACGAACATACTGCCTAGAAGAAAACATGCCAAAATTGAGTTCTTGATCTATTAGTTCTAAAAAAATGTCGACCGAGAACTCGAGGATAGCTTAAATTAGAAACCCATTTTAGGACTCATATCTACGCTCATTTCAAGAAGCAAATCTAGCTCTTCGGGTGCAATGGGTTGTTTTTGTGTACTTTATGGAATCCTTCGATGTAAGAAGGTGCAAGAAGATATTGATGAACTCACTGTGAATGATGTTCTATTAGACTCACTCTAAGATTTAAGAAGTATCTTATTTATGTGGGTTTTTTACTTCAAGACGCAAGCAGTGAATATGTTGTTGTTTCAAGTTCACTACTGTGAAACTTAAGAGCCGCCACAACTAATCGCATTTTTAAGGAATTAGTCGATCTAGTAAAAAGTAAATCATTATTTCTGCTTTAGTTATCTAACGAGGGAGATCGTTCTATAAGTCCTATTGGCTTCAAACCACCGAAAAAAGACTGGATATACAAAGCAGCTCGATGCATGGGTGTCACATGAACGAACGAGAAAAAAACTCATGGGCTGAATTTCCATCTGCGAATCGCTGTTGAATCGTCAATCCATCTAAAGCGGATGATGCCTGGTGATGAAAATTGGTTCAAACAAACAGACGGTCTCCCAGCCAAGATCAAAGACCGAAAATTGTTGTTATGTGTTTGGCGGTTCGTCTGAAGGAAACAACCTCCCAGAGGCGTCCACTTCTGACCAACATGATGGGGAATTTGTTTCATCAGGACAACGCCAGGCCATACACATCGAAAGTGACTTTCCAGAAGCTTCTAGAGTCAAAATTTCTACTTATACGAACGACCCGAACAGCCAAAAAAATTTCAAGACGAAGAATTGGAGACATTGCTGCACGCAGAGGCATGCCAGACGCAAGAAGAACTTGCAAAAGTATTAGGAGTTGTTCAAGCAACCGTTTCCAGATGATTAAAATCATTAGGATTCATACAGAAGTTGGAAATCGGGTGCTTTATTAATTAAAGCCAAGAAACGTCGAACGACGATTCCTCATGTCGGAAATGTTGCTTCAATGCCACCAAAAGAAGTAATTTTTGCGCCGGATTATCACTAGCGATGAAAAATGTATTCATTATGATAACACAAAGCGCAAGATATCGTATGTGAAGTCCGGGCAACCATCGACATCTACGGCAAAGCCGAATATCCATGGTGCCAAGGTTATGCTATGTATTTGGTGGGACCACAAGGGTAGGCTCTATTATGAGCTATAGTAATAGGGTCAGACGATCAATGAGGACCTCTACCAAAAACAATTGATTAATTTGAAAAAGGCCATTGCGGAAAAACCAACAGTAGCGACACGAATCAATAATTTTTCATCATGACAACTCTCGGCCACATGTTGCAAGGCCAGTTAAAAACTATTTGGAAAACTGTGGGTGGGAAGTTCTACCTCACCCGCCTTATAGCCCAGACATAGCACCTTCCGATTACCACTTTTTCAGATTAATGCGGAATGCCCCTCACCGAAATACGCTTCACTTCGGAACAGGGTATCAGAAATGGGCTCGATTCTTTTTTGACCTTCGAACCGGAGAAGTTCTTTTGGGATGGTATCCTCAAACTGCCAGAAAGGTGGACAAACATCGTAACGATGGGAAATACTTTGAACATTAAATGTATAACAATTTTTTCACAATAAAGTCTTTATTAAAAAAAAAACCGCACGAATTAATGCATAAACCCAAAAATGGATTAAATTTTACTAATGTGTGGTCCGAGAAGAGAAGAAAAGCTCACAGACGAATAGGCAGCAATGTTTCGTTTTTCTGTTAATTGGTAGAGTCCTGTACTAAACCGATAAAATGCCCGAAGTCTTGAGCTCTCAAAGTAATATAATATGTCCAAAGAATATCAAAGAAAAAATGAATGTCCTTAAAAGTCCAAACAAGCCGAGTCGGACCGAATACACATTATAACAAAGTTCATTTCTAATATACACAAACATGTACATATATAAAAAAATCAGTACACTCAATCTGTAGAAGTCCAGACACATGTTCTGTTCATTTATTAATCAAGATTTGTGCATACCTCGTACCAGAAATGTGCATAACTAAGGAAAAATCAAAATAAATTGTATACTAACTCACACATTCCACAGACATGCTCTGCTTCTTCTTTGCGAGTATATACATATATATATATATATATATATATATATACATTGTTTGCTAATATGCCCATATACTCTAATTTATTTCTTTTCATGCTTTTATCTCAAACTATGACTGACATGTCCTTACGCAGAGATCACTACTTTAGCAGCGCCAGTTGGGTGAGTGAAACGGAAATCTGTGTTGTTTGGTTAAATCGCCCGCAAAACATTTCAGTGGTGAGCATCTGCCACAGTCCATTGTTTATATGCGTTGAGGTGAGTATAATCAATGAAATACATATGTACATTAACAATTTATATTGACGATGAAAGAGAGTGAGAGAGTAGCAGCGCGGGTATGCGAAAGTGCAACGGGCACGCGCGTGAAGTGCTCTCTAGGGAAAAATGTCCAGTGCATGTTTGGAGCACAGTAAACTCAAATAAATAAGATTTCAAGTATTTCTATCTTAAAGTGAAAAAAAGTGATTCAACAGACAAATATATTTAATTTTTGTGATACAACTTTGGTGGATTTTCAATCTCAGACTTTTTCAACGTTCATATAGATTTCGTAATCTGGACTGAATGCTTATTAGATTCTTTTTTGGGTCAAAAGAGAGGCTACAGTTACAGCAAACAGAAAATTTTGTATTGGACGGCATAAAAAATCATCGTAACAGATGTGCAAGATACTTGAAAAGTTTCTGCGCTCATCAAGAAATAGATGTATTTTTTTCCACCGCAAAAACTTTTCCACCAACGTGTATAGACTCAATTGGCTGAAAGAAAGAAAGTTATACGATCTATACAGGAAGTGCAAAAACGAAACCTCAAGTGTTCCTCAAGGGCTTACTATTTTGAGAATATATGAAGGTGCTGCTAAAAGTTATAGCTTAGTTAATGGTCTAGTGTACTAAGGGTAGCCCACTCTTCTACACTCAATTCACTATGCGTCGCCGTCTAATTTAAATATATTCCCATCAGTTATTGGGTGTAGAAGAGTGGGCATCAGTTATTGGGAATATATTTATATTAGACGGCGACGGATAGTGAATTGAGTGTAGAAGAGTGGGCTACCCTTAGTACACTAGACCATTAACGAATCTTCCCTTCTGTGTTAGATAAAGTGGCATGCATGCATCGACTCTTAGTCGCTCCTGAGTGCGGTTATATTATTTGGCCTAAAACTTTGTGGTTACCAACTGTCAGCGCTGCTTCATAGATTGGTTTGGGTCTAGTTGACGGACACTTGGGACATCAACGTGATGTACTTCTCACCTTATGAATGATGCAATACTTCCTCTACCAATCGTTTCTATGTCAGGCAGGCAGTCGTAAATGTGATGTCCTAGATATTTATGTTGTATGATGCTTAGGGCTATCAGTGGCAGAGGCAGTGTTTGACAGATTCTTCGTTTTACTCTCTCTCTGCGGATTCGACGAAAATCATTTGAAAAGTAACACAGCCTTCTTTGTGTCTGTAAAGTCGCATTAAACAGTGCCCAGTTAGTATACCAGTCATTGCATTGATGGTGAATCGGTCTAGGAGGAATAGATCTTATTTATCTTTTAGCGTCCGACACAGGCTGTTTCGCTGAAAGATAGATTTAATCTGAGTTTTTCCGGAGATAAGAATAAAAAGATCTGGTGGTAGATTGGCTATCCGAGTATATACTGATTGATTGGTTTGTAACCAGAGATCCCAGCAACCATTTTACGGCTTCCATAATTGCAATAAGTTCTCCTTGGAAGACGCTGGAGAAGTCTAGTAGCTTCAAATTTAACTTGGTTGTGAGTGTTAGTGAGTGAATTCCACAGCCTACCCTTTTGTCGAGTTTGAAACCATCCGCGAAGTTGGCTATGTGACTCTGATCCGAAACACTTGCATTTTCACATTCACTCTTGTCCGGAATTCTTGTTGACGAGAATGTCAAAACAAAGACAATATCCAGGCATGCCCAATAGCCACTAGATCCAAGACTAAGCCATACTTGTTTGAATTTCGCCTTACAAATCCAGAGGAAGAAATTTAAGAAAAGGCTCCAGGGCTTTTGACGGCAGAGCCCCTATAATGAGAATAACTGTTGACCGCTCAACTCTGTCCGGTTTGCTCCTGAATGCGTTTAAGTTTTTTTTTTCGTGAGCGCTAGCTACCAGACAGTGATTCATAGAATGCAATGGGAATTAAACGGTTGTAAACCCCATCTTTTGCCTGAGTACAGTGATGGCTCAAGTTACCTCAACCTTTCCTCCGTATTTCGGTTCAAGTTTATCTGGCTATCCAAGTTTAGCTCAAGATATTTGACTTCGAGTGAGAGAGTGGTTTCCATGTCTTTTGGATTGAGTGGTTTAAAGGCTCTTTGTGAAAAAAATCATTTCGGTTTTTCCCCACATATTCTGCATCACTATGTTCAGGGCATTTATTTGCCAGTAGTTTCCTGTCGCTCTTACGGCGTCATAACCGTATATTAAGGATGACTCCCGCAGCCTTTATTAAGGCAGTTTTCTAGAGTCATATACCAGGTAGACAGGTACGTTGTACTTGTGTGTACCCACCGGGCTCTATTAGTTTGTATGAGCCATTATTCGTAGTGCTTAATTTATTACAATGGACCCCCCTCTGGAGCTTTGTATTTGAACCGGTTTACCTTCCCTCAGTTGCTTTAAGTAAATTTTGAAAGTATAACTTCTATAAAGTCATTGCGTTTCTGAGCTCAAAAATATTGTATCTAACGTTTTACAGTTGGCAAAACCGTTCTACCGACATCAATACGGTACGACGGCTCCAACGGGATGAAATAAGCTCCAAACTCCTCTTTTATCCTCTCTCTTTTCTATTATAAGGGCACTGTTGCCCTGGAAAAATTTGTGTTGCTTCCCCAGTTCGGAATACATATTGTTTTATTATTTCAAAGCCATGCGAATGCCGAGTAAAAACCCTTTAAAGCCAACAGAATATAATATATTATTTGTTCTTTGTAACCGCTAGAATGATTTTCGTCGAACTCAACCTCCAATTTGTGGGTTTGCGCTTCTTGATGTTTTTCCAACAAATGGAGGGACCAACAAATGGAGGGACCGACAGTTTAAACTAAGCCACCTCCGAAGAGCTGACGGTTTTTTTGACAAGGAGCCTTTATTTCAGATCAGAATTAAACTCAGAGAGGTTGACCTTCTCTGCGTGAGGCGAACGCAGTTAGAAAATGTAGCTTCATTTTTATTTAAATAAATTTTCTATAAATTTTTTATATTGGTCGCACCAGGATTTGAATGGCAGTACGCAATGCTAACCACTCGCCCACTGCGGCCGTCAACATAGATCCAGAATTCTTATTGGACGAACATTTGGGGATTTTCCTCTCATCACTGCTCCAATGGCTTCGAATTTACTTTTCGCCTTCCATGCTGGAGATATAGATCTTCTACCTAAACATGGGAACTCTGAGCATGAGAGAGCGAAAACGATTTTCTTTTAGCTTGCACTCGCCACTGTCAAACATTATAAAGTGTTTGTACCAGATGAGTTCTACTGATATAATGATTATGTTGCCCGGTTTTCATAGTTCTGATTACAGCTACAGCAGAGCTCGTCGACGAGAAGTTATGCTTGCTTAGACCCAACCGTTTGGCTGTTTATATAGTCCAAGCTCTTTACCATTCCCGATTTATCAACAATGTTGGCTTTCGTGCCCCTAACCGACAACAGCTCAATATGATTCTTCCTACTTGAGAAAACTTCGAATGTTTAGTCGAATTAGGAATATCACTAACTGAGACTGAAGACAGCTCGTTTCCTTGTCTTCTTTCTTCATACCAGTCTCTTAGTTCTTCGCAGAACTTGTTTTCTTCGCTGAAGAGGCAACCATTATGAAGTTGGCTCTCAAAAGAAGGGTTTCTTATTTCCTAGCGGGTCATGTCCGTATAGTTTTGGAGCGTGTATATGTGCTCGTTGTAGTTTTAGTGTCACTTCACGTTAAGTGTAATTTATCAAAATATAATGCTACTTAAACTTATCCTAGCGATTTATTTTTATTTATTATACCGATTTCTGTTGCTCGCCATGCCAATCGGTATGGCAAAAAACGCCATGTTCGTGACCACCAACAGACACATCGGGTGAGCGGCGATGGACGCGGTTGGGTGGACACAATTTCGGTGCCATTGTTTGCAGAGAATGCAACTTCCTATGTTGCCATATCGCCATTGCGTGACGGCGCTTCCGGTGAGTTTGTAAACGCCATCCATATTGCCACGGCACACCACATCCGTTTTGTTTTCATAATTTTTACACTTTTACCGCACTAAGCAAAAACAAAGACGAAAAATTTAGTAAACATTTTTGATTTATTCACCCGCCATCAGGTTACTTCCGGCACATTGTGCACGTGCATGTGTCCAAGAAGCGTGTACTACCACTAACGCATGGCCAGTATGAGGTAAATGAGTTGCTACATTGGGATCAGCTCAATAATTGGATGTAAGTATGCTATTAAGTACTTTATTTAATTTGGCAGAATTACTACTCTCGCAGTGAGGTTTTCATATGCACACACAGCTACACACACAGAATTTCCTAACATTTGCTTCTTCGCACAGCTACTTCCTCGGCACACCGGAGCGCCTGCCGGGGCAACAGCACCTTTATCGTGTCTCCGCTTTGCCACCACGTCACGGCTCAGCACACCAACTACCCGACTGTCTGACGTGTCCCGCACAATTGCGTAGCAGCCATCAGGGTACTGAGGGTCACACAAAATCACCACCAAAACTGGTCACCGCTTGGGATGACGATTGGGAGGATTCGGAAGAGCGTCAAACATTACCACCGCCCACTTTGACGCCCGAACATAAACACGCTAAAGCGCCGCACGCACACACCGAACCGAATGAATGCCTCTATCATACCGCCAAATTTCCGTTAACGCTACAAGCACATTATGTACTCATCGAATGTTTGGGCCCGATGGTGCCTACAACCAGTGTTTATGCACTAACCAACATCTACAGCGATGAGCATGGCAAGAAGTCGCTAGCAAAGAATGCTGAAGCGCTGGAACTTCTCGTGACTGTGCAGAATAATACGCGTTTGAAGGAGAAAATGCTGCGTACTGCATTGCCGCAAGTCAAGACGTTCCCCGTTATGATATCCGGCGGTTATCATGCACAAGTACGTCTCTACTTGCCGCCCGTACTGCGCGAAGATGAAATTACTCGCTACCCCACCATATTGCATGTCTACTCGGGTCCGGGCACTCAACTTGTTACGGAGAAATGGCATATCGACTGGAATACTTACTTATCGGGTACGAAAGATTATATCGTTGTTGAAATTGATGGCCGTGGCTCGTCCGGGCAGGGTTATCAGCTATTGCACGAGATCTATAAGCGTCTCGGTTCGGTTGAGGTGTCCGATCAGCTGGAGGTGAGTGAATATTTGCGTGACAATTTGCACTTTATCGACGGTCGGCGTATGGGTGTGTGGGGTTGGAGTTATGGTGGATATACGGCAGCATTGGCGTTGGCCGGCACACAATCGATCTTCCAGTGTGGCATCAGTGTGTCGCCGGTGACGAATTGGAAGCTTTACGGTGAGTGAAAAGTATATAAAATGCAAGTTTTTTTCTCAATTGCTGTTTGTATATAGAATATTAGAACAACTTCTGAGCATTAAGGTGTCTCTTAATTCGCTGAAATCGGTTTATGTCCTCGTTCAGCTCAGAGAGCTCGTAGTTCTATTGTCCACGGTATCTGCTATAACCTGCTCAGAGAGGTGCGCCAAATCTCGACTTCGATGAGTGCTTATGACGAGGTTGTTGAAGTCAATGACTCCAGAGAGTACGAACATCAAAGATGCTGTCTTTCCATACGGTGCCGCCGTAGAGTGGGATTGGTCTAACTATCGATGTATAAAGCCAGTACACGATATTCGGTCTTAGACCCAAATTCCACTCAACGGCGGCATCGTATGGTGGCCAGCACTCGACCAAACCTCTTTCAGGAACAAATTAGATAAAGTTTAATGGCCGGCTGCTATCCTTGTAAGAGGAGCACTGCCCTCAACTCCCTCAAATCCCTCAAAAGGCATCGCTAACTCTACTCAACTTTCTTTATATGGGCCTATAGGGGAAATAACAAGCGAGCTGTGACGCAATTAGATTTAATGCAACCCAACCTTGGAACAATTGCAGTATAGGATACACTAAAATATTATTCCTTGCAAACCAGTATTTGTTGGAGTACTCCAGTACGTGCTTCTCCACGAGAATCCCTATACCAAACAGAATGAATGGGCTCAAAATTCAATGAACAAGAGAGCTGCGGAATCTACTCTCCGATGCTCTCAGTATATATGAGCATGAGAGTACCAGACCGCTGTGCCGTGGTCTGGGGACCTGGACACAGTGACATCACAGCCATTGCATGGCAGACAAAATACACGATGCTGGTTCACCCTTGTCTACGGCATAGTGTACGCTTCAGCTTTACAAGGTTCACAGCATCACAGCGGTATCAAAATGAGTCTATTGGCCTAAGTTTGCCTGGTAATAACCAGCAGCCGTAGCAACTCAACTCAACTCCACTCTAGACATCAGCGAATCCCTGAACCAAATATGTTGTAGACGTTCCCATGAAAAATTCTCGTAAAATTTAGATTTCAAGTTATTGGAAATGCTCGAAAAAATTTGAAAAAGCTTGAACTAAGAAAAAATACATAAATGATTTCAAAAGCAAGAATTTTTACTATAAAAAAATTATGGAAAAAAGCTCTAAATATTCCACAATCTCATCACTTTTCTCTCCTCACTCAGATTCTACCTACGCCGAACGCTATTTGAGCTTCCCAAATGTGACGGATAATTACAAGGGCTACGAGGAGGGCGATCTCTCCAAATATGTGGATAATTTGCGTGATCGGCAATTTCTGTTGGTGCACGGCACTGCCGATGACAATGTTCATGTGCAGCAATCAATGGTGTTGGCGCGTGCACTCACCAATAAAGGTGTACTCTACAAACAACAAATCTATCCCGATGAAGGTCACAGTTTGGCGGGTGTGAAGAGACATTTGTACCGTTCGATGACAAGTTTCTTTGAGGATTGTTTTAAGAAATTGGTGAGTTTCCAGATTTAATATATATATATTTTTTTTCAAATAATTTTTGTAATCTTTAGGTTTTCATACACAAAATTTTGCTTCATTAATAATTGAAATTTTGGCAAAACTTAAAAAAAAATGCCTTAAATAAGTAAAATCACTTACAGCATAACACTTATAATTCAATATATTTTTCTTCCTCTTTCTCAATACACTACACTATTATTACAATAAAAAATATACTATGGCTATCACTCTTTTTCTCTTTACATATCTATCTTTGTCTATCTTGTTTTAACTCTGTTTCTATTCAATACACTTTTGCACTAAAAAAAAATTTTATAAAATTTTATTTTAATTTTTTTCAACATTTAATTACACACAATAATATTTTAATAACTTTATTTTGATCTTAATAATATTTATATAATTTTTTTTGTAATTATAATTCACTATTTTGCTCCCCTTCTATCTTATAAAACCCTTGAATCCTCCAGCTTGAGCAACAACTGAGTAACCAAACTGATTCCGCGGATTTCCTAGACTTTCATAGTCTATATGTAAATATATAAACAGAAAATTGACGGATTTATATAAGTGACACAGAGTGCACCAAAAGCTTACACTGTGCACACGATCGTCGGGATCGTTTATGTGAAATTCATTATTTAAGGTATCCCAAAAGTGAATTTAATCCTGATAATGGTTGTTTGTAAATGTCACGTAATATTTGTATGTTTTGGTGTCAGTCGATGTTCGATGTTTTATTTTAATTATATATTTTTGTGTCTGTATGTTTAAATGTGCTTTCTGTTTTCTTAACTTAAATATGCCTACCCTGCAGCAAATTTGGTATGGCTGTACCTATTGGAAGTGAAGAGGTAAAACGAATCGATTCTCAAGAGGAAATGACAAGCAGAAGCTCTCTCAAAAGAAAAAGAAAAAAAAAATACTAAACACAATGCGGGCGGGTGCATGGTGATTGTTTAATTTTGAGACGTGTTTTGCGCTTTGAGCAAACAAGAACTATGCTTAGCTCACAGTGTTCTCACAAGAATTTGTAACTAATAAATTTTGCATACACATATGTATTAAAAAAAATAAAAGTTACTAAACGAAGTGTCATTTAAAAAAAAAAAAAAATAAAAAAAATATACATAAAATTCAGAAAAATTCATGAAATCTCTATTTGAACCGATAGTACGGTCCATATAATTTAATGTTTGTAGATTATTTTATGCAAATGTTGACTGCGCCTCAAATGGTCCATCCGCTTAGTCCAATTTTGGCGTACTCTTTCCAACATTTCGGCCGGTATCTCACGACTAAATACTTCAATGTTGTCCTTCAATACGTCAATTGAAGGGAGCTTGTCTGTATAGACATTATATTTACCATATCCCCACGAAAAATAGTCTAAAGGCGTTAAATCGCACGATCTAGGCATCCAATTGACCGCTCCCGAACGTGATATAAAATGTTCAACGAACTCGCCTCTCACTAAGTCCACTGTTGTGCGTGCTGTAAGGTATGTGACACCGTCTTGTTGAAACCACATGTCATTGCAAGTCAAGTTGAGTTAAAATTTGTTGAAACCTACGAAAAAATGGTAGTTAAAACATGACCACGTTTTGGTCTCCAACAACTCGAGCAATCGATAAAAGTTTAAGGAAATTCGAAGATTGGTGGCAGATATTGTGAGGCCGGCGCATAATCGTTTATCGCGTTAAATCTAAAATATAGCTGCTGCAAGTGAAAGTGTAGCCGTATACCAGAATTTGTTTGTTCCTCGACGTTCTTAAGAGCTTTGAATAGCTTTTTTATGACACATTATGTTTTATTTCGCACTCGGACTTACAACTGCAGCCATATAAAGTCCAGCCGACATAACAACTGCAGCCAGCTGATTATTCACAAGGCCATACATACGTCGATTGGATGCTTGAACAAAAATGCAGTTGATGGCAATTTTTCGAAAAAAAAATTCTTTAGCTACGAGACACATTTCACACTTGCAGTGACGTAAACGTAAATAAACTCTTTTTTAATATTTGCGACTCCGAGAATCCTCAAAGATTTTAAAAGATGTCTTTGACAAAAAAAAATACTTACTTTCTGGTACGCACTTTGGTCCGGACAACGCCGAGACAGTCACTATCAATACGGAGCGTTTTGATCGTACGATAAACGGCATGCACAATAAGTGGTTTCAACAAGATGTTGCCACATGCCGCACACCACGAGCGAACATGGCTTTGTCGAGAGAGAAATTTAGCAGCCTCTTATCTCTCATCTTGGCGATATCAATTGGCCACCAAGATCGTGCGACTTGGTACCGTTTGTATATTCTCCAAAAGACCGTGTTTATGCGGATAAATATTTAACCCTTGAGCACTTGAAAGCCAACCTTCCTCAAGCTATGGCTGAGATATCGCCAAATTTGTGCACAAGAGTGGTCGAAAATTGCCTCAAAAGGATCGAAGTTTGCTAAAATTTGCGAGGCGTTCTTACAAATGATCTAGTTTTCACATATAAAGCCAAAGTTCAAACTTTATAATAAAAAAGAATTTCATGAAAAAAAAATATTTTTAATGTATTTTATTCATTTGAATTTTCGAAGCCGTAAAATGTTTAACCCGACCTGAAATAACCGCTTACTTGGTAAGCATAGTAGTGAGGCTGCAATGAGAAAAAGAGAAACCACATGAATAGCTTCCTTACTTGGAAAGGCATTTGAAAATAAAATTAAGAGAACTTACGGTTTATTCATATAAAACCTGCTTAGCTTTGCTTGACAGATGAAACTCTGATTACGAAGCGAAATATGTAGCACAATGAAAACCTAAAAATTAGACGATCTTTTTTTTAAATTTTTATTATTATTTAATAGCTTTGTGAAGCATTAAATCTAGCAATATGAAAATAAATTGTTGTCTTTTATTCACTCTTCGGTGAAGTTTAGTTTAAATATCTAAATTCCCATAGATTTTATTAGAAAATTGATGAAGTGAAACAAGTTGGTTTTTCTGTAAAATTTTGTTTCACTTCGCATTGCTTCAACTCAACCACTTTTTTACTTCGAACAAATTTGTCAAAACACAACTCGTAGGTATGACGAGACAAAACTCTCATCAGTCTTAATATTTTCCACGACGCCGTGTTAATTTTCAGCGCTGAATTCAAGCCTTGACAGTTTCCACTTTACCTCTTCGTTTTCAAGGCATTAACATTTGCTGCTGGGTACATGTGAGATTTGTTAAAAAAAAATTAGATTGTCTTTCTTGTGTTAGTGCACTCATATGCATGTATGTATATAGCAAACACACGTATGTACATATAGCTTGTGTGCGTGTACGATGATTTTCGCGAGACAAAAATGAAGGTTCAAAAAAGTTGCATGAAATTCTGTATACAAAATATATATATAAAAGTATTTAAAAAGTAATTATTGATAGTAACATACGATAAGAGTGCTTGTTTTCAATTTTTTTTTACTAAAAACTCTACCGTAAATTCAGCCCCTGCAACTTTTTATTGTGCCCATAAAGGGACGGCATTTTTTGAAAAGATTAAGAAAGTAACAACGTTGAAGGATCTTAAGGACACACCAAAAGAAAAAAATATGTATCAGAATTTTGTTGCTGCAAGACGGATTACTTTGATATGCACAAAATGAAATTTAATTAATATTTAGAAATAGAGTAAATCTTATAATTTCACTTTAATAATAACAAAATAAGAAACTTTTTCGGTGACTCAATTCGTGAAACCAACAAACAAAAGAACGTTAAAGCTTCAAAAAATCAATCATATCATTTATTTTTGATAAAATCAGTTTTAATAATTTGGTTCTTTAATATGGCGTACAGTCTAAAAAATTTTAAAAACTCAAAATTTTATTGAAAAATGATTAAAAAATTTGAAAATATATTTTTAAGAATCTTAGGAACCACTTTACCTCTAGTTTTTTTTTTCAGGAAGCATCCAGAGAAACAGATTTTTTAGTTTTTTGGAATCTCTTTTTAACTATTTAGAAGCGGTTAAAGATGGTGATCCGGAATTGGAAACAACATTCCCATAAAATGGGGACCCCGTATACCCTTTTGGAGCCCATGAATTGTGTGCTGTGCATTAAGGGGTTACACCTAGTTTGGAGCCCTAAAAAATGAGCTTTTCAAACATTTTTCAAAAGGAAACTTTTGACTTTATTTTTTTTTTTGAGTATCTGTACACATATTATGACACCTTTAAAGAGTAGTTGGCAATTTTTTTTTTATAAAAATATCAGTTTTTGAAGCTGCTGCAGCAGATCTCCAAAGACCCCTAACAATAAAAGACGATTTGCGGTGACCATTACATTTTTGAAGTGCATCGTCTGAAATAAAAAAATAAAACGAAATTCGTTAAAGTAAAGTATAATTTTGCGATAAATCAAAGGAATAAGCCAAAAAAAAATTTGGAAAATATGACGGTTTCTCAAAGCAAAAAAAAAGTTAAATTTTTCTCCATAATTTTTTTCTTGAATTTCGCTTTATAAAAAAAAACTTTTCATAGATAATAGAAAAACTTCGATTAAGTGCTAGAAAATATTATTCAGAAGAGCGTGTATAAAATTTGCAACTAACCGGTTCAACCGTTGAAATCTTGGCCACCGATTTGAAAAACACAGTTTTGTGAAAAACTAAGTTAAAGTTTCAAAAGCGTTTTCCAGAGAGTTAAATTTTTTTTCAACTCACATCGAGTTGTCTATTCCGGTGCCAAATATGCCCTCTGCGGCCTCAGCAGCTTCCAAAACATCGATCTTCTCTCTCTCGTGCTCTCATGCGCTCTGCACTCGGAGGTCGTTATGCGCTATTTATCCTCTTCTTCGGCATTTGAATGTGGCTTGGGTCGTTACAGATATGCGTGTAACTTCCAAAATAACAATCGGAGCGACTTGAAATTTTCCGAGTATTTACCTGAATACATGTACATTACGTAAGTAAAAAAATTGATTTTTTGTAAACTCTAACTAGATGTAACTCCCAAAGCATAAGAAACGATGGAATGGAATTAATATTCACCACACGCAAGTCTGGGTCAGAGAATGATTAGTAGATTCCAGAATGCATTTGAATGAAAATAAATTGTATGGTCAAGCGTAAAGAGGAAGGACGAAATTTGCACTGCAATCTTAGTTCTATTGTGCACCTCGTACACTCCAGTTGCTTTTAGAACACCATCAGGCATGAAGTGTTAAAGGATGCAATGCCACCTTTCTCATTCTGTATAGTCGTCAGATATGTAAGCATTTTTTTTGCTACAACTTCACATTTTTTAAACAGTTGTACTAATGCGTGCAGCTCTAAGTTGCAATTAACGGCCTGACTTTATACCGAGAGCTTTGATTGCAACTCTTTCCATTCCTCTACAAGGTTTCATCTGGAATTAGACCAACTGGAACGAAAGCTAGTACGAAACGAAAGCCACGAATAACTCTAATTAAGCATAGCCGATAAAGAGTAAATACGACGTATTGCTCAAGACCTCGGCCGCAACTGGGACAGCGTGTGAGAGAATAAAACGGATTAGTATTACACACTTAGCCTAAAGTTTTTCCAAATATTTGTATTCTTCTAGTACTAGCATTTTTCAAGATCCTCAAGGTAGGTGTTTGTTTCTATGATAATCTCTTCATTTGTCCCGCATCTACTACCGCACAGTCATTTCCTCAGGTTTGGAAGCAATAAATAATCGTAGGGAGCGAAGTCTACAGAATATGCTGAATGAAGAAGCAGTTCGTGGCGCAATTTATGCGTTTCTGCCATGGTAACACGTATGCTCCCGTGCACTGTCCTGATGGAACCGGGACTTTTTTTTGCGCCAACTGCGATCGTTTATACTTCAAAACAATGTCGAATCTGTTCAAGAACTTTGTATAATATTCGCCGGTAATAATTCTGCCCTTTTCAAGGTGATGGATATGAATGAGACCTCTTGCGTACCAAAAACCTGTGGCCATGCTCGGAACACGACTCTGACATGTTTGTTCTTAACTCACTGGTTTAGTATGGTGCATCCTTGTTTGATCTACGGTGGGTGCCAAAATTCATTTGTGTTGCGATTAAGCTTCGCCAGACATTCCAACGAATTGGTTATACGATTGCGTTTATGACCGCGTGTGAACAATTGCGGCGCAAATCGTGCGGTTAACTTTTCCTGACCAAATATTCATGAAAAATGTTATATACTCGCACTTCTGATATACCAGTACCTTCAGCCATCTTATTCTCTAATCGTTCAATATCATTTCACGGATTTTAACGACTATTGCTGGGGTGACGAACTCTTTTCGACGAGGTTGCCACTAGGAGAGTATTGCATTTACACTACCCGCGTGGAAATTCAGAGAGTCAGTGACTTATCAAACAAGTTATGCATACCCCTTATAGTCTGGACCTTGCACCTCCTGTCTATGGCGAGTGATTTAACCGCTAAGAGAAGCTTGTGAAAACCGATTTTTCCTTATTTTATGTCCAGAGGAACAAGGTCTTTTACGAGAGAGCCATAATGGCATTATATTCAAAATGTCAAACCTTTATCGAGCAAATCATAAATAATTATTCAAGCAATGATAAACAAAGCCTTCAGTTTAATGCAAAAATAATGGATCACTTTTTACTTGATCTTAATTTTTATTATTGTATACATTTTTTATACAAAAACTAAACATTATTCATTAAATTGAAAATGCGTTGTAGTAAAGAAAGTTTTTTTTTAATAAAAAAAAATGGCATGCATCATTAATGTATTGTGAAGTTCTGATATAAATACATATAAATAAACTTATAATTTTCCGTTTAAATGTTGTTTCATGTACTTTGTATAGTGTCAAAAAGCTTTTTCTGTAAAACAAAAAAAAATATTGATATTCAAATAGAACAGATGTTTTAAAAAAAAGCATACAAACATACCACCATACATATATTTATAATATACTATACATTATTTTAAGCAACTAACCTACATTTATAATTTAGCTTCTAACCACGCCCACAACTTTATTTCATTTTCACTAACATTTCTCATTTTTGATGTGAAATATCAACACTTTTTTATTTTCTTTTATTTATTTATAATTTTTTATTACTTTTTTGCTGCTCAATGTGCTAACACGCTATTTTAAACAGTCTGTTGTAATAAATTGTTAATAAATGCTTTTGTATATTAAAATTAGTTTCCTTTATATATACATGTTGTTATTTATATGCATTATATATTATTAATTTTATGCAGAAAAAGTTTTCAGCTCTTTTCTTTCGTTACTCTTCTCCACTTAGGTGCCGCCCGAATCTAAAGCTGGCCTTGGAAATGGTGGTGCTAGTGATATGCAACAGCAATAAAATTATGCAAATGCTTTAATATAAATTGTTTGATTTCTTTTTTTTTTATTTAAAAAACAAGCGCCGGAAATTCTGCTCAAAAATATAGAAATTTTTTATGGTTTCCTTTTTTTTTTTGGAATTTTTTTGAACAAATTTAGGTATGGAAAACAAAAATCAAAATCAATAATAAAAAAAGCCGAATATTACAAATTTTAATGGTTGTGAAATTAACAAAAAAAAAGCAACAACAACAACATAAACAACTAAATACAGGCGCGCTAAAATGTAGGCAACAAAATGCATGTGCGCTAAAATGTAGGCAACCAAATTATGAGAAAATACCAAGTATTTGCTGTCTATATACAGCTAAAGAATTTTTTGCATGCAATAAGCAAAAAAGTGGAAAAAGTGCAAAAAAAACCAGGTACTCGAAATCAAAGCAAAATTTGTTGTATAGTCAAAATTTAATAACAGCGAATATTTAAAAGAAAAAAAAATAAAGTGCAAAACAAACAAAAAGCGCAATCAAATGTATTTTGTTTAAAAAAAATATATAACTAAGCTATTTTAAAAACTTTTTAGAGAATTTAAACAAAGAAAGGCATTCAAAAATATAGCAAAAATATTATTATTTCTATTATTATTTAAATATTATTTGCTCACACTGGCAGTGGAGGTCCTTCTTTTAGCTTCTAGTAATTTTGCTTTCGAAAGCAGAAAGAAGACGTCTTCTTTTTAATTGCATGAAAACCTTTTGTAACAGAAAAAAATTAAAAAAATTAGTAAATTAAGTGGTTAAATTAAGAAGTGTGTAAATTTAGAAACTGAATAAATAGCATAAAAAGTACATTTCTAAAATTGTAGTGAAAATATTATATCAAACAAATATTTGAGAATTAAAAATGGGATTTGAGAAAGAATTCGAAATTCGTAAAAAAAAATTAAAACAAGTAACTTAATTTTAAAATAGAAAATTAATTTGAAAGATATGTAAGACGACAGAATAAACAAAAGCTTAAAACCCAAACATTTAAAGAATATTTTAATACTTAATACAATAATTAGTAGAACATAAATTTCAAAAACACAAAATGACTTGCAACGCATAAAGAGTAAATATATACAGAAATAGCAAATCAAACAAAACAATATATGAAAATTAATTTAGAAATACAGAAAAGCTCAAAATTAGCTGCGATAGTGAGAATGAAAATTTACCTTATTGTAAATGTGAATCATTAAAAATAATTTGAATTTAGAAAGAATTATTAGTGTAACTCCATCAAGGGTCCGTAGTATTGCGCAAAGTGTATGAAGAAATTAGTATAAATTCAATTAAATTAAATAAAATTAAATTAAAATAAATATAAAAACTATGCATGAGAGCATTTTTAGCTTGCTGAATGAGTAGCGTGCTTTTGAAATACTATCGCAATAAAGAGCTTTTTATTTTGGTTTAAGCTTAAAGTTAGAAAGCTTTAATATTATATATATTATAGTAAGAAACGATTTTTCTGTTATTGGCATTAGAGTAAATATAAGCGCTCGTAGTTTCGTAGAGAAAATTATTAAATAATAGTAATAATAATAATAATAAATTAGCAAAATCTATTTGCAACCAAAATAAAATTTATTGATTTTAATTGCGATAATTTTATGTTTTAAATTAATAATTAAATAATTGATGCAAAAAGGCTACGAGTTGCCAAAACAAATAATCTAAAATTTATTTTAAAATTTTCTTGCAGTCATTCGTCCATACTCCACTACAGTTTCCTTCTTAAAGTTGTTGAACTTTCGTAAGCTGAACTTTTGTAAGCTTTGTCGCAACTTTAAATGTAATTTACAAGCAGTGCAGCCTGCTGGGATTTCTGTATTTCAAGCTATTGCTTTCGCACGGAAAATATTGAAAATAAAATTAGCAAACAAATAAAATTTACCATTATAATTTGAGTATTTCAATATTTTTGCGGTATTTGTAATTTAAGATATTATCAGTATATCAGAATTTAAACTACAATTACAAAAAAATTCATATGATTTATTTATATTGCTAATATTCAAGGTTTGCATTAAATTTTTTTTGAATATGAAATTTCCATATATCTTAGCTGAATAGAAATGCGCCTAAATGTATGCAATGTCTATCAAATCACCAAGCTTCAGAGCTTTTCATATTAAAAGTGATATTCGTGCTTAAAACCAGCTATTACATTTAATGATTTCATGCTAATAACAATATAACCACTGAGTGTGTGCGTGTGTGTGTCTAGTTAAATATAACCCTTTCAGTAAATCTGTAAATTAAATACAATTACAATAACTCTTTAATGAGTCGGTATTTCATTGTTAATACGTTAATGCGTGAATGACATTGATGCACAAAGTCTTTGCTGCCATAATAAACGTAATAATAATTCAAAATAATTAATGTAAAGCGGCGGCGGCGACGGCGACGGCGGTATATGCATACACGCCCACGCTTAACATGCACATACACTCCCACGCAGCATAATTAGCAACACCATTTGTTCGTACACAGCTTCCACCGGTCGTGCATTGCTGTACCAAAAGATATGGAAAATTGGTTTATATATGTATTTCTTTAAATGTGTTTGCTTAAATGAGGAGTTGTGTGCTTATGCAACAACAAAAGGAACAAAATAAAAGCGTGGAATGACGGCAGCAACAAAGTCTAATGGCAATTAACTATTTAATAAAAAATTGCGTTTCCTTTTGCATGACTACGCAAACAGTATGAAAATAAGCACAAGAGGTGAAGTGCAAATATTCGTAAGCATACTTTTAGGCGCAGTAAAGCCTTTTTAATTTTTAAACAATTTTTACTTTAATTGTTTGTATGTTTACACTACAAACATATTTTTAACTACATTAAGAACTGTTGCGCCTATAGGTATGCCATATTTTAAGACTTGAAGTATTAAGCATACCTTTCGCTGTGCCCCAAAAAGCAAGTGTGTTTTTGACTAAAGAGGGTCAAAAATGAGCTTACGAAAGCATAACGACGATATGTACCTATATGCGTTATATATAATAATAATTGTCATTATTTCATATATAAATATAAGAGTGAAATTAATACACTGGCGGCATACAGCTTATACTACTTTCTTAGAAAAAAAACATTGCGAATGGCAATAATATTCATGAATTAATAAATTTATGGCTGACATTTTTATTATGTATATATAATTATATAAATGAAATTTGCGTCAAATAAAAGCTTGTTACAATTTCATAATCCTCACAATCTCACCATGCAATTGTGAAAAGGTGAACAAAATTAAGGCAACCATATAAAATGTTTTTTTTTTTTTAACTCAAATGTGACATGTGTGCAAGATTTAATTCAATAAATGGATAATGAAATTTATTAATTTTAATTATTATTTAAATCTGTGTAATTTTTTCTAATATATTGCTTACAATATGTTGTTTTTTACATTCGTTATAGCGCTTTCTTTCGATTAAACATTTTTTTAAATCCTTAACCAAAATAAAAAAAAATCGTAACTTTATTTTTTATTTTTTCTCAATCCCATATTAATTATTGAAAATTTATAGAGTCTAATAATTTCTAATTTCGGCAATGTTATTGTTATTTTACGTCAAAAAACGAATTTTATTTTCCGGTACTGAACAAAACTAAGCTTAAAGCATATTAAAAGCTCAACAATAAAGCACAAGTTAAAGCTCCATTTGATGTCAAATAAAAAAATATGCATGGACTTAGATTTAGTTTGAATCCTATACGTAAAAAAATGAAAATATGAGTAAAATTATGTAGAAATTGTTTATGAAGTTATGAGAACTGTAGCAAAAATAGCTGGAAATGTGAAAGCTCAATGTACAGAAACCATTTCATTAAAATCCTTATTTTGTGGTACAGGAAACATACGCGAGATCTCAAAATGTTCGAAACCCCTTTTTGTGAAAGCTATAAATTACATCAACACTCAATTGAAAGCTTTCATTAAATAAGAATTAAAAAAATAATAAAATTGATTTGTATAGAAACTGGAGAAAGTGAAATATACTCAAATTATTTTCAAAACATATACCTTTAATAGTTATGTATTAACACCTAACCAATTTGTTACTGTATCATACACTATTACATATGTACTTTTATACGAAAACTAACTAGAATTAGAATTTGTTAGAAATACTAAAGTAATACTACTAATACCATGAAATGAAATTAAATCTTGAAACAAAAAATATTTTCCTACAAATTAATTATTTAGCATACTACATACATATGTAAGCAAGGTTTAGCGGTGTGAACCCTTACAAAATTGGATTTTCGAATTGAACGCTTTAAAGTGAAACCATTACCTAATAGCCTAAAAAAAAAGAATTAAAAAAGTTAGCGTATAATTTGTAAAATTAGAAAGCCCTTAAAAGCTTATTATTTTCATTATTTAATAAATTAATACAATATTTTATTGATAATATAATAACCTTCAGTACCTTTAAAACTCGATAATCTTTCAAGAAAATTACGGGGTTTAGTGTACTCTTGAGCAAATAAAAGCTCTAAGAGAAACTGAATTTAATTTTTAAGTATTCATGCAAGATTGCAAACGTGCGAGAAAATATTTTAAAACACCTTCTAAAGGCATTTATTGAGAGTTAGCTGCAAATTATAATGTGCAACTTTTACTGGCGATAGTTAAATTGCAACTTAGGCTTGCAGTATAAAAGCGCTGGAAAAAATTAAAGTTCTCAAAAATAGCTTTCAAATACCAATAACGTGTTGGTAAGCAAATCAAAAAGCTTTGAACATATTTACATATAACCCATTATTGTTGATGGTTTAAAAAAAAGTGAACTTGAGCAAGCATGAAATATTAAAAGCTCAACAGAGGGTATGTGCAAATTTCTCGAAAGCTTTTTGAGCAACATTTTTTTTTGAAAGCAATAGTTTTTAAGCTTTAGAAGTGGCTCAATAGAAATTCAAAATACTTTGATGCTCATGTGCTTTTAAAAGCTTGCTACAATATTAAGCTTTCGGTGAAAATTGTTTAAGCAAA